AAAGAGCGATGGCCTCCAACCTAAAGAGCGATGGCCTCCAACCTAAAAAGCGATGGCCTCCAACCTAAAGAGTGATGGCCTCCAACCTAAAGAGCGACGGCCTCCAACCTAAAGAGCGATTGCTTCCAACCTAAGAGCTCTGAGATACGGCACCCTTATGAGATTTACCGGGCAAATCCTGTGTTTCAGCTGGACAGTCGGATTCCGGAGCCGATGCTCCTCAGGTTAGTTTACCAAGAGCTCTGTGATCAATCCAGGCATCAAAGCCAGCCTGAGAAGTTGTACAATTGTGCAATGGTACCTCCTGTTGAGTCTCAAAATCCCTGGTTTTCTCGCAGAGTGTCTCCTCCAGCCCCGTCCTCCAGCCCTCTAGGCTCTGCCGGTGCCAACTGTTGGTTTGATGGCGGGCATTCCGCCGCCCGGCAAATTGGCAAGACGTTCGGGTCACGTCGACCGGGCGAAGCTGTCGTGAAGGGTTTTTTTGGTTCGAAGCCAAGATGTTGGACTTGCCAAATGCCTTGGTCCTTTGGAGGGTTAGCATGTGTTAGCATCAGGTTGGAGGCCATTGCTATTGGGAAGCGGCCAAAGATTATGGACTTGCCAAATGTTAGCATATGTTAGCATTTCTCTGTGCTACGGTGCTTCAGAAAGTCGTGCACTTCAAAAAGGCATGGGCCCATGATGTGGCCCATGCTAAGAGAGACTTCGGAACACCGGTTCACCGTGCGTGAAAAACGGTGCGAAGGATTCGATGGATCCCATGACCTTCCGCAAGAGACGCTCGGAGGTTTTGTTCAGAGAGTCTTTCCGCGTTTTGTGTGCTCTGGATATGGGAAGGGGTCTCCCAAGAGCCCCTAGTAGCGTCCTTGCTCCTAGGTCCTAGTAGTAAGGCCAGGAGCTACTAGTAGCGTCCTTGCTCCTAGTAGTAAGGCCAGGAGCTCCTAGTACCTTCTTGTTACTAGTAGCGATGCCAGGAGCAACTAGTAGCGTCCTTGCTCCTAGTAGTAAGGCCAGGAGCCCCTATAGTAGTAGTTTCTTGTTACTAGTAGCGATGCCAGGAGCTACTAGTAGCGTCCTTGCTCCTAGTAGTAAGGCCAGGAGCTAGGAGCCTGTTGGGATCTCTTGAGACAGAATTTTCCAAGGTTTTTCTGAGAGCGATGGCCTCCAACCTAATTGCAATGGCCTCCAACCTAGAGAGACCATCCAAGTTTGCTGAAGAGTTTAAGAAAGACTTCCCCTTGGAGGGTGCCCAAAAGGTGAGAACATGAATCTCGAAAGCAAATGCAAGAGGAATGATTAGATCGTTGGTTGGAGGTTGCTGTTTTGGATCATTTGGGAGCAGGAACTCCCACACACTGGCGCTTGTTTCCTCAGACCCACTAGGGAGTGTTTCCTCAAAATTGGTTTGCAAAGTTTCTTTTCCAAGCAAGCGTTCTTCTTCATGTTGTTCCAATCTGGCAGACTTTGAAGATCCAAAGAGCATTGGCTCAAGGTTTCCTGCAGAGGCGTCAAATCTGACTTGGCAGACCTGCCAACTGCTCCGTACACATAGGACATGCCCTCAGTGACCGATACCTGCGGATATAGGTGGCTTCAAAGGAGTCTGACAGGATGTTCCAAAGGCTCTTTGATTGGTGATTATGATGGTTAGTCGGATTAGTCGGTTAGTGCTTGTGACCTGGCAGCCAGGTCATTTGGTGATGCATTCTGTGGTTTGCAAACGACCATCTTCCGCTCCAGGAGCTTGCATTTGTTGGTTTCTGGTGTTTCATGCATCTCTCCACAAATCGCCCGAGGCATGGCGCCCAGTTCTGGTGAGCTCTCGGAGTTCGACGGGCCAAGCAAAAGCTGGGAGTACATCCGTGACCCGACAGCAAGCAGTGTCCTTTCTCGAACATGTCATCTTCATCTTAAAGCCTTCCTGGATTATAGAAACAATAAGCTACTAGGAACAAGTGCATCGCTACTAGTAACAAGTCCTTACTAGTAGTAACAAGAAGCTAGTAGTAACAAGAATTAAATTTCATGTTCGCTTTTCCCAGCGGGCTCCCCTTGGTGGGGCCGTCCATGGATTTGGGTGGTATCTATTTTTTGGGGGATGGCTCCATTGCCTATGCATCCGATACCTGCGGTGGTGACTTCGGCCGGTGAATTTTTCTTTATAGATCTTTTTAGGCTCTCTGCACTGTGCCTAGCGTGTATTTGGCCAGTCACGCCAGTGAGCTTTTATGCGAGCTACACCTGGGTGTGTGAGGGAGGTGAATCATTGTTTTTCCAGACTGGAAGGAACCCTTTGGATGTTGGGGTCCAAAAAATGGATCGAAGAGTTTGCTCACCAAGTAGGTTTGGAGCTCTCCAGCCAAGGAATCGAAGGCCTGGGTTTTCTGCCGGGGCTTTGTTGTCCGCACCACGACCGCGTGCAGAGCAACGGGGTCCTCCGTGCGGAGGACTTCGAGAAACTGCTGCGCAGGCACCCGCAGGAGCGAGGCATTTGTACCTTCGAGGTATTACGTGACGTGACAGGGATCCGTAACTCAGACACAATGGACACAGTCGTGTCCAGTCTTCTCCAGCCGTTTTAGACTGTGGGGCACTAACTCCAATGACAAAGAAGAAACAAGAAACAATGACAGGGGTATGGCCATTGCTACTAGGTTGGAGGCCATCGCTTCTAGGTTGGAGGCCATCGCTATTAGATTGGAGACCATCGCTCTTAGGTGTTCCTTGGCACCAAGGGTTCCTAAGATGCTAATATAATCTAATATACGCAACCGCAGCGCAGAACACGTCCCAGTCAGTGGCCCGGTTCCCGGGAATTTTGCGTCTTTTGCCAGTGGCCCGACATGCTCTTACCGGATGTTTGCCAGTGCGGGTAGCTGGAAGCTGGAAGTAATTACACTGAAAGTGGTCCTATCTATTGGCAGAAAGGCCTTCGTGTAATCCTTGGTGCCAAGGATCACCTAATAGCGATGGCCTCCAACCTAAGAGCGAGATGGCCTCATCTGGCCTCTAACCCAAAAGCATGTAAGTATTTGGGCGTTTTGTGCATCGCTAGTAGTAACAAGTGCCTTACTAGTAGTAAGAAGAAGCTATTAGAAACAAGTATTATACTGCCCAGGCATCGATGACTGGGCCGCCCTGGAGATCGACGGAGAATCCTATCAGATATTCGTCGCGCCCGACGCACCCAAGTCGGCGAAGGTCTTCATCAAGGCGTTTGTTTGAGGTGAAAAGATCGAAACAACAAAAAGGAAGAGTTCTGAGGAAAAAAAACATAGTAAATACAGTAAAGAAGGAAAAGGAAGTGAGAACAAAGAAAACATAGCAAAAAAACAACTAGGGATAGCAAGTACATCAATAATTAAGATGCAATAAGAAGTAGTCTTAGTGGATACGATCTCGGAAACCAGGTCACTAGGCCATGGTGAGCTCCATGTGTCATCTCCTTGTGGTTTCATGGAGTGGACAAGTCTGTTTTTTTGTGAGCAGCAAATTTTTTGAGGTACATGACATGGTTGATTGAACATGACGGGGGTCTGGCATCGCTACTAGTAGCTCATACTACTAGGAGAAAGAAGCTACTACTAGCGATGCACTTGTTTCTAATAGCTTCTTGTTATTACTAGTAAGGCACTTGTTACTACTAGCGATGCACTTGTTACTACTAGTTTTTCACATGGCAGGATGACTGAACTTCCGTCCAGGAGATCGACGGAGGGACGCTCCAGGCCACGGGCGTGCCAATGGAGGGCAAGTTGCACGAGCTCCTGCGCCGGGCGAGTGCAATCACGTGCCTCGGAACACGGCAAGCGGCTAGTAGCTTGGAGGCCATCGTTTCTAGTTTGGTGGCCATCGTTTCTACGTTGGAGGCCATCGTTTCTAGTTTGGTGGCCATCGTTTCTACGTTGGAGGCCATCGCTTCTAGGTCGGAGGCCATCGTTTCTAGGTTGGAGGCCATCGTTTCTAGGTTGGAGGCCATCGTTTCTAGGTTGGAGGTCATCGCTTCTGGGTTGGAGGTCATCGCTTCTGGGTTGGAGGCCATCGCTATTAGGTTGGAGGCCATCGCTTCTAGGTTGGAGGCCATCGTTTCTAGTTTGGTGGCCATCGTTTCTACGTTGGAGGCCATCGCTTCTAGGTCGGAGGCCATCGTTTCTAGGTTGGAGGCCATCGTTTCTAGGTTGGAGGCCATCGTTTCTAGGTTGGAGGTCATCGCTTCTGGGTTGGAGGCCATCGCTATTAGGTTGGAGGCCATCGCTTCTAGGTTGGAGGCCATCGTTTCTAGATTGAGGGGCATCGCTAGATTGGAGGCATCGCTTCTAGGTCGGAGGCCATCGTTTCTAGGTTGGAGGCCATCGTTTCTAGGTTGGAGG